ACAAACACCCTGCCCTGATTCTGCAGCATGCTGGGTGTCGTGAATCTGAGCTGCAGTTTTGTTGCCTCTGGTAAGCTACATGGGTGGTGGATGCATCTTTTGGTGGCTGATGGTTGCAACCAAAACACATGGAAGAAATTGAGGTTTCCCTAATGACAACATGTTTTAGGGATGACTACATGGGCATATATCCTGCTGTTTGGTCTGCTGTGGAGACAGGCTTGTTCTGTCCTTTTTTCCCCAGGAACCAGGAGGATATTTTTTTTCATTAGATATAGGCATAGTCACGCCAGTGCAATGTTTCCCAGTTCTTCCTCATTTTTTAAAAAAACTATTTTTAGTGGTCAGACAACGCAAGATCATTAGTGCATCTTTTAGCATGTTTCCATACCATCTGCATGCCAAATCCACTGGAAGGTTTCTTCTTTCCTTGTTGCGGGATCTATTACACAATACAGTGGTGCCTCACTTTACGATGTTAATTCGTTCCATCGAAAACAATTACGACGTTAATTCGTTCCAGTGAAAACACTGTTAAATGAAAATGTCGTAATGCGATTTTAAAAAGCCCATTGAAACTCATTAAAACCCGATTAATGCGTTCCTAGGGGCTTGAAACTCACCGTCCAGCGAAGCTCCTCCATAGCGCTGCCATTTTCACTGCCTGTGCAGTGAGGAATCCGTGCCAGAAAAGAGCGGGCGGCCATTTTGTTTACCCGGTGGCCATTTTGAAACCGCCAATCAGCTGGCTGAAAATCATCGCTTTGTGATGATCAGTTCCCGAAGCAGGGAACCGATCATCGCAAAGTGAAATTCCCCCCTAGGGAACATTGTTTTGCAATCGCTTTTGCGATCGCAAAAATATCAACATCTAGCGATTTCATCATCAGAGTGCCCATTAAGCAAGGCACCACAGTAGTTTTATAGTGGTGATATGCGTTTATGGCTATATCAATACTTTTTCTGGCAAGCCACCTTTTCTTGCTTCCAACAGTGATGTTGTGCGCTGTATGTCCCTGTAATATATTTTTTCAAAAATTAGCAAGTGGAATGTTGATACTTTGGAAAATATTTATCATCAGCCTCTGCACTTCACTTACTTGTGGATCCTTCCACCAGATGGTGCTCCGTCCCCTCATACCCAACAACAAAATGTTGCTGAAACATTAATGTAACTATTTTTTTTAAAAAGGGAAAAGGGGTCCCCAGAGGTGGGTGGTCAGAACAAGGCCGGCTGGAGTTGCGCTGTCTTACCACTGTGCAGCTTCGGGGTGTGAGACTCACCCATTATCTTTAAAAGGGATCCTGTGAGACCCTATATATACTCTTTCCGCACTACAGCAGGATCCTTTCTGTTTTGAGATCTTAAATATTTAATTGGTTAATAAAGTGTGGCCCTGGTTTACTGCATCACTTTGTGTCTTGCATCATTATTCAGGGGTAGGAGGGCAATGTCTGTGATCACACACTTAAAATGAATGTTATCATTAACAGGAGGATCGTTTTTCTGGCTCTACATGAGAAACTTTTTACAGAAAGCAAGCAGTAGTTTCTTAACAGGAGGATCGTTTTTCTGGCTCTACATAAGAAACTTTTTACAGAAAGCAAGCAGTAATTTCTTAGATGGGGACGTGGTAGCGCTGTGGGCTAAACCGCAGAAGCTTTTGTGTCCTGCAGGGTCAGAAGACCAGCAGTCGTAAGATCGAATCCACGCAACGGAGTGAGCGCTCATTGCTTTGTCCCAGCTCCTCGCCAACCTAGCAGTTCGAAAGCATGCAAATGCGAGTAGATAAATAGGTACCACTCAGTGGGAAGATAAAACAGTGTTCCCTAATCATGCTGGCCACATGAAAACGGAAACTATCTATAATCACGCTGGCCACGTGAAAACGGAAACTATCTATGGACAAGCGTTTGCTCTACGGCTTGAAAATGGGATGAGCACCGCCCCCTAGAGTGAGACACGACTGGACTAAAAAATGTCAATGGGAACCTTTAGTTTCTTAAATTAACTTTCAGGGATGAAAGAACTGCTCCTAATTAATGAAGTGAAATTGCTTTCCCATTGCTTATTTCCATTTCACCCAACCTTGCCTTTCTATCATATTAATCATTTTATATTAGTCATACTAAAAGTCCTTTTACTCATTGGTAGAATCTATGAATATAAGTCACATTTTTCTGGCCATTTCACCATCTTTTTTTTAACCTTCTGCCTGGCTGAATATAGGCAGACATTGGTGACAAAGTAAGTTGCTGAATGGCATGCCAGACCATTGGTACGTTTTGGACAATGATTTCATCTTGGGATGCTTGTGTTTCTGAGCTATAACAGCTTCCCATAGGGGCATATCTCGAGGGGCACAGAACAGATACTAACAAGTCTCTTCTGCAATAGCAAACTCTTGCTGCCATCACAAAAGGACTTATAAAGTGGGATCTCTACGTGGTTGAGTACTGTACATGAACACTGAATATCAGACAAATACTGCCATCACAAAGAAAAGGACTTATAAAGCAGAATCTCTATCTGGTTGAGTACTGTACATGAACATTGAACATCAGTGGAATCAAAGTGCATCTGGAACTGAGACAAATATATGAAAAAGTGAGTAATTTCTATCATGTAACTTTGGAAATTTATCCATTCTTCCTGATTTTAAAAAAATGTAGCCTAATTTCTGTGACGTATATTAACTTTGGAAATTTATCCATTCTTCCTGATAAAAAAATATATGTAGCCTATTTTCTGTGACGTATTTTGCTCTCTCTTTCTCTCTGTTTCTCACACATACACTTTAAATACTCCCTCTCTCTCTCTCTCTCTCTGTTTCTCACGCATACACTTTAAATGTAGGATGTAAATAATTCTAACACAAAAACAATTGTAAAATGAATTGGGGGGGGGGCATTAATTCATATTGGTAATGCCTCTTCTATTACTTTTCCAGTAGATACAGTACTAATGATTAACCAGGCCCATTTGGAGAGAAGAGTCCTTTAAATATCTAAGTAATAAACCATTTAGGGCTTTGATGGTCATCCTGAACAGCTTGCAGTTAGATTAATGGATATCAGATTTTAAATCGTCTTTTAATGCTAAATGTTTTTTATGAAGTATTTGGATTTCTGGAAATTTATAAAAGTTTATTCTCACTGTATGAATGTTCTAAGGACCATAACAATAAACTGACTGACTGACTGATAGATGGGACTGGATATGCATTGGCAAGAGTTGTGATTCTTTCAGTGTCACATAGGCTCTGAAAGTTATTCCTGCCAGTTATCTAGCTGTCACCTACTGCAGTCACTGCAGCATCCATATAATCTTTGAGAGGAGCCCCACACAGAGTGTACTATAATAGTCTAATGTGAAGGCTATAGAGCTGTGAACTTCCTTGGTCATTCTGCCCCTGTCCAGAAATGATTCTTGCTGGCAGGCCAATTCAAGCTGGCCCCAATCATTCAAAGCCTCTGAGTTTGTCTGAGATTTGTGTGTGAGGAAAAAAAAAAACACCTCAGGGGTTACCTCAAACTACACACCAACTTCTTCAGTGCAAGTGCAACCCAATCCAGAACAGGTCACATAGCCATCTCCTGAACATGACCCCATCCAACAACAGAGCCTCCATTTTGTTGGTATTCAGCTTCACTTTATTAGCCCTTCTCAGTCCATTATTATCCATTCCACACCCTGTTCTGTACCTGAGTAGTCTCAGCAGTAACAATTATCATATTGTCAGCTTAATATTAAAAGACCACATGCTCCATCTAGAGTTATTATCCAATTAAGCCCAAACTATAAGAGCGGTCTTGCTTCTTTCCACAGAAAACATCCTTGGTAAGGAACAAGATTCAATCAATCAATCTTCCCTATCAAAATTATTTCTCATGAAACTGTCCACGCTTCACAAGCTACAACTTTTAGATTTCTCAGTCTCTTTTGTCTCTCTCCATCTTATAGTAACTATTACCGCCCACTGTTTGTGGGACAGATCTTCCTGAGTTCATTTTCAATTGTAATCTACAATGAGAAGACATTTTATTACAGCAAAGTCACAATGGGTTGCAAATTTCATGCAGAACTAGAACCACAAGGTACGTAAGTGCATTACATTGCCATCACCTTGAGAGCTGTAAGAAAACGTATCCAGGATTCAGTTCCTTGCCATGGACTGTCTTGATATATTTTGATTGCTTTGGTTTCCTAACAGGGAGGAACTGTTATGACCAACACACACACCACAACTCAGTAAATCTGTAGCCTGGTCGCAGTGAAGAACATTTTTTTTTGGTCCCAGACATATATTTTTTTGGATGTTGCAACTTACTGGCAGCATGTTTTGGTTGTTAATAGGTTTGTAGAGCATGTTGGGATATATTTCCTTTAAATTTCAACCCTTCAAATAAAATCGTTCTTTTATAAAATCCCCGAGATTAGGAATTTGGAAGCAAAATAATATTTGTATACAGCTATAGGCAAAGAATAGGGTCAAAGATGGGCAAGAAACACTGGTTTGACAGTTGATGCCGTTTTATTTTTCAGCTGAAAAGATGATCAGCTGCTCCCCACTCAGACGCTGCGCTCTGGCTTCAGTATCTTGCTTCCTTTGAGTGGGTGGAGAAGGCAGGGCTGGGATCCACTTGAACATTTGCTTGGCCAAAAAAAAACCACAAACAAACAAACAAATAAACCAGCATGAACTGCCAAATTGGCCGTTTTTGTTTATTACTAGTTTGAGTTTATTATTATTATATAAACTCTTAAACAGTTTTGGAGCAGGTTCTTTAAGAGCCTTGATGGCTGATGACTGTAAGAGGTGCAGTGCCCCGCAGGACTTTTGGGATAAGGCACCCCTCCCACTCTAAATGATTTCTGTAAGCTTCCCTGGTGTCATTCACTCTAAACTACCATCACAACAAAAGCACCAACAATTTCAGTTGATGCAATTCCTCTTTCTACCTTCTGTTTCCTTCCACAGGACGAAAACAAGTATCTCATGGACCAAACCCTAAAGAATCAGTCTTCTTTCACAAACTTTCTTCTCTTGGGATTCTCAGAGATTCATGAGGTGCAGGTTCTACTCTTTACTGTGTTCCTTGTTTACTATCTGGTAGCAGTTGGAGTAAATCTTCTTATCATCTCTGCGGTAGCTACTGACCATCACTTACATAATCCTATGCACTTCTTTCTGATGAACTTGGCTGTACAGGATGTGGGACAAATTTCAGTCATTCTCCCTAAATCCATCGCAAATTCCCTCATGGACAGTAGACAGATTTCATACTCTGGATGCGTTGCTCAAGTGCTTTTCTATATTTTGTTTGCAGCATCTGATTTCTTTCTCCTCACAGTTATGGCATATGATCGATATGTTGCTATTTGTGCTCCATTGCAGTATGAGATGTTGATGAACAAGCAAGCGTGCCTTCAAATGATTGCTATTGTTTGGATCAGCAGCTTTCTTTATGGAGTCTTACATTCTGCTGGTACCTTTGCAGCCCCCTTTTGCTCCAACATTGTCAATCAATTTTTCTGTGAAATTCCACAATTAATGAAGCTTGCCTGCTCAGACCTGTATCTAATTGAAGTTGCATTTATGTTGTTAAGTGTTGTGGTTTCAGGAGGGTGTTTTATTTTCATCATTGTGACTTATGTGTACATCTTTACAGCAGTGTTGAAAATTCCTTCCATGCAGGGAAGGCATAAAGCCTTATCCACTTGCCTTCCCCACCTCTTTGTGGTTTCCATATTTGTATTGACAGGATTTTCTGTTTATGTCCAGCCCTTTTCTAATTCTTCCTCATATCTTGAATTGGCAATGACTATATTATACTCCATGGTTCCCCCTTTAATGAACCCAATAATCTATAGCATGAGGAACGAGAAAATAAAAAATGCTCTATCGAATATATTACATTTGAGATACTATTCTCACTAGCCGTGCTCTACAAATGTGACCGCTTTTCGTATCTCTCCTCCAACAACAACCAGTTTTTAGTTCTGTCTTGTAACTACAAATTCTCAAACACACTGAGAGGAACAACTGGGAGCTGGACCTACAACTATTTGAAAGGACTGAAAAAAGAGTGTGAGTGATGCATAAATATCTACTGGCGGAAAGCCTGTAGAAGCAGGGGAATCATGAAAGAGAATAATAAATTCCTACTTAAGGAATGGGTGGTCTAGGAAGAAGTGACCCCCGTTGTGCCTTTTTCTTCTATCAATAGTTCTGAAGAAGGACAAAAAACGTATCTTATTTATCACCTTCAAGACAGGGTCTATATGGGAGTTTAGTAATGCTGGTAGACTGTGTCATGAGACTAAGGTCTGTTGAAGTTACCTGTCCAGGCAGGTGGATATTGAATCATATGGAACAGGCCTTAATTATTCATGGCCCATACTACTTCATGGCTGTTATAATTTCTCAAACAAGCATTGAATGATGATGGGGGGGTAGTTTTAGCCTCCACCTGGATGGAAATATGACCAACTTCTTCATATATCTCTAGGTGATGTAAAAGAAGAAGAACATCTGGCTAACGGAGGACAATTAGAATTCAGCCCTGTTACTCCAAGTGGAATTTGGGATAGTTTACTAGGCTTCACAATTCCCTGCAAAGCTGCCTCCATTGGGAACATTTGCACTCCATATGTGGTCACAGAGAATGACATCTGCCAGTCTAACAGTTTATGTTTAGGACCTATTCTGGAATAAATTTAGGTGAATGATGGACTAGGTGGGTTATACAGGCAATATAAGATAAGACAATACACTTAACTACTAAGGGAAGCAGATCTGAGCCCATTTGTCTCTCTAGTAGTCTGGCTCCTGCCCCACCTGCTTCACTGATATGCTAGCCACTGCAGCAAACTTGATTTATGTGTGCTTCTGAGACTGTATCTGCATTGTGTATATGCATCATTATAGCTATTAAAAGTCTGTTATACCAAATGTCACTTTGATTTTAATCACTTGAAAACTTTTGTATACACCTCTCCCTTCTCATGACAAACCATCTCCATTTCCAATTGTGTGCCTGAGCATTTAATGTTAAATATTTGTTAAATATCTAAATGTTAAAGCCCCATATAGAACCTATCTTGAAGTTGGCAAATAAGATACATTTTTTGTATTTAATAATTATTAAATATAAATGTTAAATAGCCTAAAGTCTCCACGTACATGTTTGTAATTATCTTGGCCATACAAGAAGTGTGAAAAATACATTTCATGTTTCCAAAATTCATTTTTCTTTCTCTGGATGTATGCCTCAAGTGCACTTTTGTACCTTTGTTATGGTATCAGACATCTTTTTTTCCCAACTTTATCTGTGTACAATTGATATATTGCTATTTCCTGCCTGTGAGACCGGCAGGGGTTTCCTTGGCCATGTGAATGGGCTCTCCACCTCCCCAAGATGTTCCACACACTTCCAAGGGCAGTTGCCTGACTGTGCACAGCACAGCACCCTTGTTGTGGCACACTGTACCTGGCACATCTAAGAAATGTCCTAGAGTTGACAGAAGTGGTGGGGCCCCAATCCTCTTAAAAGAATTTTGGAGACACAGCTCCAAAGACTGTGGGAGTAAAGTTAGCTGTCTTGCACCCTAAATTGTTAACTTTTATGAATTTGCCTGGTTGGTCTTTTAAAATTTCCATTGCACCAATAAAGAGTTTGTTCCAGCAGCAACACTCTGTGTCATCATGAAAGGGGGGGCAACAGGGGAGGGGGGTACTCATACAGTGTTGGTGGTCACAGAACAAAGGAAAGGCTAATTGCCTTAGAGAGAGAGGAGAAAAGAATCGACAGTGGATATCTGAGCCAGCGGAGCCTACTGGCAACACCCAGAGGGCTCTTTTCTTGACTTAGCATGATTACATAGTACCGTATGTTATGAGAGAAACAGATAGGATACTAGTTATCTAATCGTAACTAGGATTGACTAAAATAACCCTTTGATCTTATGCTCTACCTCTAAGCAAAAGGGCAGAATAAAGGGCTCCCCCGCCTGCTGGAAGCTGCCACATCCTGCCAGGAGTGTATGCACGTCACTGGAACAGAATCCAGCTACAACCTTTAAACAGAAGTTTCCCACAGTGAATGTCATCACCAACAGTTTGCACTTCAACTTGATGTGCATTGTTAGCGGTTATGATTCTTCCAACGTCATATGGTCTCTGAAAGTTATTCTTGCCAACATCCTCAAGTGCTCAGATAAGACAAGGTATTGGTTGTTCTGGTTTTTCGGGCTCTTTGGCCGTGTTCATAAGGTTGTTCTTCCTGACGTTTCGCCAGTCTCTGTGGCCAACATCTTCAGAGGACAGCACAGGTTGCTGTCCTCTGAAGATGCTGGCCACAGAGACTGGCAAAATGTCAGGAAGAACAACCTTTGGAACACGGCCAAAGAGCCCGAAAAACCCAGAACAACCATTAGATCCTGGTCGTGAAAGCCTTCGCGAATACATTAAGACAAGGTATCTTTATAAAAGAGACAGTAAAACAAAACATGCTGCAAGGATTCAACCACTCCTTGACCACAAGGACAGGGTCTCAGTTCTGTGGGTAAACTCATATATCTTCCCTGTGCTGTGTTTGAAGGTACAATATTGCACCTAGCAAGGGTGAATGCCCATCGGTCTTGGGGATGTTCTGTGAGATAGAGATAATTCTGTCTTCTGCAATAGGAGAGGGGCAACTGAAAATATAGCAGGAAACAGACCCTTTGTGCAGCGCTGTGCTGCATTTGCCCCTCAATATCCAGAGCTTTGATTGTACAGAATACCTGGGATAGAGGTATTGAACCCAGCAGATCTGGTAACAACCCCAGGGTCTTGATTTTCTTCAGAAATAGGGCCAATGTAGGCATCCTTCAGTCTCGAAAGACTATGGTGACGTGCTCTGTATGGAGGACTTGGAACAAAGTTTAGTGTGGCTGAAGAGGCCAATTCGAGAGTGACAATCTCTTCCACACTGAAGACAAATCCAATCTGTCCCCTGTCCAACTCCCTGGTTTTGCTGCTTTTGTGACTTCCTCTTTGCCTCGGCCTGCTGAGCAAGGGTCTCTTCAAATTGGGAGAGGCCGTGATGCACTGCCTGCCTCCAGGCTGAATGATCAGGTGTCAGGGTTTCCCATCTGTTGAGGTCTATTCCTAAGGCCTTCAGGTCCCGCTTGCAGATATCCTTGTATCATTTGGTATATCCTCCCCTCAGGGAGCAGGGGCCTATTTCCATGGTCCGCCCTCGAAGACTACTGGATCCGATCGGTTTCCAGGAGGCCATGAGAGGGATTACGGCTGACCTGGCTAGCGCTCCTGTTGACGTCCTGGTGGACAGCTGGTCCACCGCTGCCACCCGGGCAGTCGACACGATTGCGCCCAAACGCCCTCTCCGGCGCAGAACTCGTCCGGCGCCCTGGTTCAACCTGGAGCTCCGGGCGATGAAGCGAATTAGGAGAAGGCTAGAGCGTAGATGGAGGAAGAACCCGACGGACAACAACTGGATAGCTGTCAAGGTCGCAACTAACCTTTACCTGAATAAGGTGAAGGCTGCATGTAGATCATTCTTCGCTAACCGGATAAGCGAAGCGTCCAACCAGCAGGCGGAGCTTTTCCGTATAGTGCGCGACCTATCTGGAGTTGGTCTGGGTGATGGGCCTCCCCCTAGTTTTTCACCTGACCAATTTGCGGCATTTTTTAAATCTAAAGTGGAGGCCATCCGCCGGGAGCTCTCTCCTTTTTTAAATGCAGTGAATCGAGCTGAGATG